CTGCTTATGTAGATGAGAGTAAGGAATGTAGATTTGGTGTATCTGAATTTTCAGAGAGCATTTGACAAGGTGCCACATAAAAGGCTTGTAAAAAAAATTAGTTCTATAGGTGTGGGGGATAAGTTAACAAAATGGATAGAAGAGTGGCTGGATGGAAGAGAGCAGAGAGTTGTTACAAGTGGAGTTCAGTTAAACTGAATTAATGTAACAAGTGGGGTACCTCAGGACTCAGTCTTAGGATCTTTGCTCCTTTTGAATTACATAAATGACATAGATTAAGGAATAGTCAATAAACAACTTAAATTTGCAGATTATATTAAGGTCATGGGTGTTGCTAGCTGTGATGAGGATTTACAAAAGGATTTAGATCATTTAGTGTGTTGAGCAAATAAATGTCAGATGGGTTTTAAGTATAATAAATGCAAGGTAGGAGAAATAGGATTTTAGGCTACAGAAATATTGAGTACAAGTCTAAAGAGGTTATAATTTCATTGTACAGGTCACTGGTTAGGCCACATTTGGAATATTGTGTTCAGTCATGAGCATTTAATTGTTGGAAAGGGTTACTAGAATGGTGCCTTGGATGGAGAGTTTATCATATGAGGAGAGGTTGAAATTTTTCAAATTGTTTTCTCTTGAAAAAAGAAGAGTTACAAGGGATCTTTAATATTGTGAAGGGAACTGATAGTGCTGATGCATCATATTTTCACATATTTAACAGTGAGAATAGTAGGACTAGGGGACACAAATATAAATTTGGGGAAGGTAAGAGTCATCTTAGGCTAAGACAGTTTCATTTTTCTAATAGGGTGGTTGGCCTTTGGAATGGGTTGCCTTCAGATGTTGTAGAGGCAGTATAGTTAAGTGAGTTTAAGAAAAACTGGAGAAGTATATGAATGATAAGGGCTGGCTTTAAGATTTTTTTTTTAATTACTTTAATTTAGTTTAGAGGATGGAAAAACCGAGATGGACCAATGGGTCCAATGTTGTCCAAAACGTATGTGTATCATGTTATTTATTCGTAAATATAACTTTCTGTACATTAACTTATTTTATCGGATTTTAATAATTATTATGCTTACAAGAGTATTTCTTACGATCTAGCCTGTTTACATATCAGCAACGTGCTAACATTCTTTAAACATTTGAAACTGAAGTCAAATTTATACCGGTATGAAATCGTGTTCTACTTTTAGCATCGTTCTTTTTAAGTAATAATACGTTTCATTACTTTGTATCCGTTCACTTATAAAAATTATTAAATGAAAATACTGGACTAAATACGAACTTCGTCTCTGAAAGTAAGGAAGAGCTGACATCAACGTACGAATCTTTCTGGAACGTTCGTATAATGTTTATTTAGATATTCGAACTCTCTAGAAGTTGCGCAATGTCAACTGAGATTGCGCATATCGGAAGAGCAGAAAGCGTCATAACCAATGCGGTTAAAATTCTCGAAGTATCTGGAGAGCGTACCAGTCCCTCTATATAAAGGATACTCGTGGTAACATTGTAAGTATTTCACATCAAAATATCGTCGTGATTGAGAAGTCTAAAGAACGTTGATTAAAGTAATTTTTAGTATGGCATTTTCACGAAGCTTAATACCTGCATTGTTTGGCCGAGATTGGAATGACCCCTGGGATTTTTCTGCTCGTATGCCTGATCGGCATTTTGGACTCGGGCTTAACGATAGTGACATTTTTACACCAACTATGTATCGTGTCTACTACAGACAGCCCCGACGTCAAGTAAGTCGTAATACAAGCAGCGGAATTTCTCAAGTCAAAAGTGAAGGCGACAAATTTCAGGTATTACTTGACGTAAGTCACTTTGAACCTCACGAAATAAATGTGAAAACTGTTGAGAACTGCGTTGTTATTGAAGGTAAACACGAAGAAAAACCAGATGAGCACGGCTTTATATCTCGACAATTTGTACGACGATACATGTTGCCCAAAGAAGTTGATCCCCAAACTGTACAATCTTCCCTGAGTTCGGACGGAATTTTGACGATCGAGGCACCAAAGAAAGCCTTGGAGGATAAACAGCCAAACGAACGAGTTGTACAGATTCAAATGAGTGATAAGCCAGCATTGAAAGAAAGTCAACAAGAACAGTGAAAATGTATTGTGCTTTTTGATATTTTATTAAATTAATATCTTGCCAGATGATTCATGTGTTCTTCTATAAGTGTGTAATTAATAGTTTTATCTATAACTATGCAAGGTCTTTTTCACTACCAGAAGAAATAATTCAATTTAAATATTTACCAATAATATGTTGTATTCTTAAACCATATATCACTTATGTTGTTGTGATGGTTTGTTGTCTTCATTAAATTGATGTAAAAAAAAAAAAAAAAGAAGGAGATAAAGACTCCCTGTACAATAATAATAATAATAATAAAAACATTCAGATAATATCTTGTTGTTTTGTGAAAATCTAATTTTGGAAAGGATGCTTTCTAATAGGCAAATATACTAATAGATACAGGTGAAAATATCGCATGTGTGGGTTTTACATTTTAAACTTCAGCTGTGAGCTTTTCAAACTTGTTTAATTTTTTCTGTAAGCTACATAACGTTATTAATATGAAGTTATTTCACATGTGTAATAGTGTATAACTATGAGTTATAACAGTGTGCAAAATACTTTTAAAATCTGCTATAGCTAAATTTACCATGTGGCCTGTAGCAATTAATTTCAGAATATAGTTCTTTGAATACACTAGAGCACTTCACTTAAATAAAAGTTAAAAAAATCCTTATTTTGCCTAAAATACTGAAAAATTGCAATGTGTCCAAAGTACATACAATCTACTGCTACTAGCTTATTTTATATAACTGATACTTGAAGCCATCAATACTTGGTGAAACTCCATAATTATGGAATTGAAGAAAACAAGACAATTGTACTATTTCACAAATGCATAATTTACCCATGATCATGGTTTTGCCACTAAAAACATCATTGGGTTTAATTTAACTTTAAATAGTGTGATTCTACTAGGTAGTTTTATAACTGACATTTACGTGTTATAACCTTGCATGTGAAACCTAGCTTGCTTGTGCACAAACGTATTTAAAAAGACTTTTTTCATATTGCAATATCCAGTACTTTTCTGCAGTTGAATAAGTGATAGCAGAGAAATGACCATGATAATAGATCATCAGTAAATAGAAAATGATGATGGAGTCGACAAATTGTTTACGAATTTTCCAATAAATCTTAAGGCAGTTAATATGCAACTGTTAATACTGTTACTAATAAATACTACTAATAATAGTGAGGAAAAATCTTGCACATTATTAATTTCTTATATTTATGTGGTTTGTGATCAAAAGCAAGTTTGTTGATGAAAGCATAACAAATGTGTAAATGAATAATTTGATCTTATAAGCCAATTAGCACCTTTTGATTTAATATAATATACAAGTAAACTAAAACCTAAGATTTAACTGTTAGAGACAAAATATAACTACAATTCAACCTCGGTTGTTCAGAGCTCAACGTGATTCATGTAGAAGCCAGTAACAGTATAAGAAATAGAGATGTTGTATTTAGGTTTAGCAAGATTATTGATATATAAGGTAACCACAGAACTATTTTGTAGGAAGATCATTATATTCCTCCTTCATGTTTTTGTTTAAAGATCTGATGTTTCTAGGTGAACTTGTAGTTATTTTAAACATGATATGTTTAAAAAGAAAAGTTTATTTAGTAATTCTACATAAAATATGACTGGTACAAAAACTGTTGTATTGTTATAATTAAAATATTAAATATGTTATGCTTAGGCCAGTAAAAAAGAAATGCATGTTTAGCTTCCCTGCCCACTTCCTTTTTTGCAGCTGCACCCCCACTTTTGGGAAATTTTTTACCCCCTTTTTTGATCATAAAAAGAAACAAAAGATTTCTGAATAAAACGTAGGATGAACACAGTTTATTCATTTTGCCCTTTTTTCTTTATTTATCATAAATTCTGTATCATTTTGATGAAAAGATGAAACAAAGAAGGCTTCTGTTTGACATGGACTGTTTAAAAACAAAAAAAAGTCCTGAAAAAATGGGTGAACTTTTGTCACTACTGAATACTGGAACATATATTTTAAGGTGGTACTATTATTATCACTTATTTGAGCTGCTTTGCTGTTTTTAATGTATACACTTAGATTTTTTTTTCATTTTCAACAACAGGTCCATTTCACCCAGCTGGGTACCTCTACTTTTTTTTGAAAATTTCACCCCTGGTGCAAACTTTCTTTCAAAGACATTAAAAAAAAAGGGTCTCCTCCTCCCTTTTTAAAAAAACTGGAAGCTAAACATGTTTTGTTTTTCACTTGACCTTTTACACAAACTCAAAACAATCATGTTTCATCTAAAAAGGCAAGCATATTAATCAACAGTTCCTGCCATATATTTTAACATGTTAATGCCAAGTCTTGTACTAGTATTATTTTTTTCTTAATGAAATAGAAAGAGAAAAAAGCTCTAGATTTAATGTTATTATAGGATAATTTTCCTTTCACACAACCCAAACGCTGCAAAACAGGTATAACAAGTATTTAAGGTACACTTTAAATACATTATCATTTCTCTGGTTTGGAGGAAATCTAAAATTGTAATATGTGTGTGTGGAATTTTTAAACTGCCACAGTTTTGATACTTGCTCTTTCAATTCATAATTTAGAAAAAATATCTTTAGGTAAATAAAGAAATAGAGATAAAAAAATAGTAGTGTTACCAGAAAGAAAGCCATTGTGCTGTGTACTCCTAATTCCACAAGATTTTGGTGAGGGAATATGTATTGTGTGGTTAATATCTAAATCAGTGAAATAACATCTTCAAGATGTATCTCGTTTTTTGAAATTCCTTTATATATACATTTTGAATTTTAACTTGTCTTGAATTTTAATTTTTCCTCTGGTTGTTGTTTTGTTCTCTGGTGAGACAGAATTGCAGCTCTAAAATCTGGGGTTCAATTCTCCATGGTGGACACAGCAGACAGCCCAATGTGGCTTTGCTCAGAAACAATTGTGTGTGTGTAAATAGCACAGTTCAAATTTTTATATGATTTTGATTGTATTTTCAAAAAGGTCCACGTTGAATGTGCCCTAAGATCAAGCTTACACGAAGCCTAATCGTTTTCTTTACAAGTTGTAGCAAATAGGGATTTTAAACAAACTTTCAAAGCATGTCCTTACCACCTGAGATACTTTTGTAGATTGGTCCTCTGAGACTTTCTCCTTACGTATCACTTTGAATTAGGCAGTTGTTGTTTCTTTCAACTTTGTTTATCAAGAATATTGTGATTAAATCATATTTAAAAATAATTATTGAATTTTTTTGAAAGATAGAATTGTATAGGAGGGATACAGGGGTGAAATTCTGCCGGTACTCACCAGTTCTGAGTACCGTAATATATTTTTTAAGATGATGCTAGTATCGGGACTTATTTTAGCTGCTTTGTCGTTTTTATGTTTACACGTAATTTTTCCTTTTTCACAAATAGGCTCTCTTCACCCAGCTGAGTACCTCTAATTCTTTTTTGAGAATTTCACCCCTGGAGGGATGTATCATGTGGGCTTCGTAAATCCGTCAAGGAAGAAGATTGGAGGTTCTAAATTTTTTATTACAACTTTATAATATGTATAGTGTGAGTTTATAATTAATTGTACAGTCTGAAACTTACAATAGGTTGTTACGACAGCGGAAGTCACGTGACCCTGGTAACACGTAATGAGTATCTTGAACGTTCCTGAAGGCTCGAGTGTTTGCCAGAC